GCTGTGTGTGGTTTTGTTGTTCTAGGATGTATCTCCCCCCAGAATTCGCGCTGTCATTTTGACATGGCATAATTATTGCTCTTTATAAGCCTGGACTGTTTAATAGTGGCTGTGGGTTTCTTGTTCTCACTGCAGTCATTTAGCCTGCGATGAAGAGAGAGTGGAGGAGGCAAAGCTGCTGGTGTCTCATGGTGCAAGCATTCACATTGAGAATAAAGAAGAGCTGACCCCACTGAAAGTGGCAAAGGGTGGCCTGGGAGCCATACTTAAAAGGATGGTGGAGGGCTAGTGGGGGCTTCCCACTTGAGCCTCTTTCCTGTTGCACTTATATTTAAGACTGCAAACTTCATAGTTTGATATTTCAACCAGGATGTTGTGTGTGGGTATCAGCATGGTAATAAAATGTTTTTATTGAAGCTGTCCTTCAAGTGCAGTGCCAAAACAACTGTTTGTACTTCCTGTTAATTGAATAGTTCACTGATTTTAAAGTATTTTTCAATATTTTGCAGTTTTCTTTCAGTTTACAGTACGATCTGTATAAATGTGGTCATTCTTTGTATGTCAGATCTTAGTTTAGAATTATTTCTTTCTAGCAACAGGACCAAAAATGCTTTACCAATTTAAAGCCAATTTCATTTTGGAAGCTTGTCCTACAGTCTTTGTTTCTTCCCTTAGCCTTTGTGATTTGTATGTGGGATTGTATTTAGTTTTTGTGGGTACAAATGTCTTTCTTCAGATGATTCTAAACTACACCTTATCTCCCTTTGTAGAATGCAGTTTGCTCAGTTGCTTGGATAAATGTATCCATTTCTGTTACTCTTGATCTATTCAAGTGAGATCTGAGTGTTTAAAGCTTTTTTTAGTGTTACTGGTTGTTCTTCTGTTTCTCTGAATCTTTAAATACATGTATTTGATGAAGTGCACTGGATTGCTTGCAGAATGCAGCAGCAGTTTCAGGGTTACCTCTGCAAATATAATGTTTTATAATGGATGGCTCTGGATAATTCTCTGGGATATACTTCAAATGTAATGTTTTTTCCTCTTGCTCCTTTTGTAGGTTCCTTTTTCTGTTCTCTCTGACTCCCATATGCAGCACTGACACTTGCAGTTTACCATCTTGTTTTATAACAGAAGCCTGGTTTTATCTCTACTTACTCATAGCAAATCCTGATATTAAGTTATTAGAAGGCAAAGCTAATGAGACAGAGTCTGAAAAGTGACCTGTTCTGATGTTGGTAAGATCACTTTTGGCACCAGTGGATAGATTTCCCCTTGAACAAATGATGCCGATAAAATTCTGTGAAATAAAGAACTTTCCTAAACAACAGTCTTTGGTATCATAAAACTTTATTGAACCTGTATGTAACAAACCCAATGTTTTCTAAATAGCTTGTACGCTTGGGATGTGAACAGCAGATGAGATGAAACTCTGCCATCCATTCCCACAAGTGGGAATGCAACATGTCTGATCTTCAGCCTCAAGGAAAGGTTGAAATGCAAGCTGGCAGTTTCTACAGTTTGACTTGCAGGGATTAAGGTAATGCAGTTTATTTTGATAAACAAGACAGAAACAACCAAACAAATATCTTCATCATTGACTTTAAATGTATCTTAGAACACAAAATGCAGGTGAAATTTCACACTTGCCTGTACAGTAAGCTCTGGCCATGCAGTTCTTGATTGAAGGAGGAACGTGACTGAGTAAATGTTTCTTGGGTGTTGCACAGGCACTGCTGAAAATTTGATTTGAGAACAGCTGAAGTTAAGAGTTCTGTGTTCATCCTTGATCTTTGTGTAGCAAAAAAACCCTGCCACAGCTCTGTAGCTTTGTAAATACACTTCCCTAGGAGATGGTAGCTTGAATGTTGGCTGAGTGTCTGGTTTCCATGTTAATGATCCCTACTCCCACAGGAGAAGATAAATGGGCCATGCAGCAAAGACTGTTGGAACATCTAAGGCAAATTCTGAAAAATGTTTCTGTATCCTGCGTGGCTCTGCAGGGTTTTAGAGTTACACACTGTGGATCAATACCTAATTTGCATTGTGCTTTGCCCAGAGCATCAGCAGAAAGCTAGGAACAGTGCCCCATCCTTTTTAATAAACTTTTACAGACTTTATAATGAGAATAAACATCTGCCAGAAGGCTTACAGAAACATCTCAATATGTTAAGAAACTCTGAATAAATGTTATTTTCCTTACCTTTCTGCTCCTCCCCAGCAACCTGTTTTGTTTCTTATTTTTGCCTTTTTATTTTTAATACTACCTATTACACACTGATGGGTGGAAGTACGAGAGGAATCATTAGTCAAGAACTTGTGTTGAATTGTTCTTTTGTTTTATTTAAAAACATTAATGAAACTTGAGCAGTTTCTACTTTTTGAACAAATATAAAACCTGTGACGTTCTAGGAAGATTGTATTAGCTATAGAAGGTAATTACAGCTCACCCACATAAGCTCCTATCTTACTGCAGCAAGTTGTGTAAGGAATACCTGTAGATAAATTTGTGTAGGTGAGATTAAGGAAAGATTGGAAAAAAATGTGGTAATGATCACATAACATAGTCCCCTTTTCAATCACAGTAGTGCTGTTGCAGAGATGTGGAAGTTGGAAAGGTGTTGCAGTAAGAAAAACGTGGCTAAGATGCATATATACAGAAGAAAGCTTTAGAAAAACTGATACAGCTATAGTGGTAACATGAAGACAGTTGTTTATAGTTTCCCATGAAGGGTAAAAGAAAACTTAGGAATATCAGATAAGAAATTATTTTAAATTATTGCTGCTGTCAGCCAAGTCAAGGGCTCCCTCAGACTAATAATTGATTTGAAACAAATAAGGGGAAACACCTTTGGTAAGAAATAGCACCCAAACAGGAGTAGGTATTCTCTCTCTTGCTGTTTCTGAGCATGTTTAATGTCATCCTTCTGCATGTTGACACAACTTTGGGTGTCAATATCAGACTTTCTCAGTAAGCTGCTCAACCCAGCAGGACATGAGTTACGGATTTTGCTTGGCATAGTTGTCAAGAGCTGCCTGATTAAGGAGATCATGACTTAAGGTTTACCCTGGATATTTAGGGAAGAGAAGAATGTGAGGATCCACCAGTAAAATATGGCAGTGTTGGTATTAGCAAGGGTTTGACCCTCACAGTCTGGCACAAGCAGTTTTTAGTTAAAATTGTATAAGAACACCGTAAGTGTCCTTTTACTCTGGAATGAAGCTAAACACTACAACACACATAACAAAGATAAATATTTGAAAGCCAGAAAACTGTGTTGGAAAGGACAATGAATACAGTTATGCTTGAAGATCCCAAATGACTCTTAACTAGGACTTCATGCTTTACATCTTCTTTAAATGTTGCCATGTTTTTTCTATTTTTTTCCCCCTTTTTTTCCTTTTTTCTTCTTTTTTGGTTGTTTTTGGGTTTTGGGGGGTTTTTTTGGTGCTCACTTTTTAGATAAACATATTTAGAGCTGTAGGAACTGAACCTGAAAATGTTAGCTGAGAAATTTTAAAGATGAATGTTGCATATGTCTAATGTTTACAGGCTAGGAACAGTCAGCAAGGGATTTATGCATGTTAGGTCCTATAAAAGATTTAAATGCCAAAAAGTTCCAGATCCCTGAGCCAGATACATTTTTGTGCAGTGCATGAGACTGAAGCCAGTGTTTCCCTGAGTCAGCGAGGACCTGCCTCGTGTAGTTCCAAACAGAGCTACTGAGGCTGTGGGTCTGTATTCACCTGAGCCCCGTGGTCTCTGAGCTCTTCTGAAAGTAGGTCTCTTTGGAAAAAACTTTTTGAAAAACTGAGTTTGTGTAACCTCAGAAATGAGGCCCAGAGAGAATTGGTGTCTAGTGATCAACATGTGTGTGGTTCAGTTCCTTTTTCTCCTTCCAACCACTCAAGAGAGTGGTCATTACTCGACTGTTGGCTATCGGTGTGCTTTGCACTATTTACCTTTCCTCTTGATGCTTTCACCTATAGAAAACAGGCTGTTACACTGGGCTAAAGAATCAGAGGAAAAGTAGCATGAGTTTGTTGCTCAGTAGGTAGAACAGGTGCCTGGAAATAGATTTAAATCATCTCAGGAAGAGGAAGCAATCAAAACTCATGTGCTGTATAGTAGAGAGTATTACTTCTAAGTTTTGAAAGCAGCTGTATTGCATGTCATGAGGAATCTGATGTTGTGCCTGCCTATTGGAACAAGCCTTGCAAGGGATTTAGATTTCCAGCTCCTGTTCTGTGGAAAACAGTCATTTGATGTCTGAACTGGGTACCCGAATGCCAGTTCTATTAAACTGAAGACCGGAACTGCTGAGACACACAACTCTGGAATGCTGGTGCCTTGGGAACTTTGAGCCAAGAATGTCACTGTTAACAAAATGTATTCCATGTCAGGCAGCAACAGGGTAAAAGTGTCCAGGATCATTTGTTTGGGTTTTTTTTCAATTTAAGTAGAATTCAGACACACAAGATTTCATTGGCCCAGGTCTCAACATCTGTTTCTGCAATCTGATGACATTGATGTAACTTCTTTTTACTTCTGACATACAGAATCAGTTCCTTTAAACACTGCAATGTACTGACCATGAGGATTGTTCTTGGTACACAGGGAATAAGTTGGCCAACACTGTTTCTGGAGAAGACTGCTGTGGTTCAGAACTGTGTGGATACACACAGCATGACTGATAGTTGACTGGAAAGCTCTTACTTTGACAATTTCCTAATTAGTTTTGCAAAATAGGTTGGATAATGTGGATGATAGTCTTTTTATGCTTATATTTTTCTACAGTTATAACTAGATAATAAAAGAAATTTGGTTAACTTTAAAAGCCAAATCTTCTGCTATTCACATGTAACAGACCCTTTTCAATCTCTAGCCCAGTGGTTCACAATGCAAATGCCCATTTAAGATTTAGTCACACTTCTATGTTAATTCAATGACAACAATTTTTGTATAAAGGGGTCCAGAGGTGACAAGGAAAACTAATAAAACTCTAGGCTGTTTCTTCTTTTTCTGCTTCTTGCTTCTCATTGTTTTCAGGTGTTCCAGGGGCTGTTGTTTCATCAACACTCGGGTATTCCATTGTTGCATTGCTCGATGGAACTGTGGTCGCAGGAATGTTTTCTTCATTAGGTACCTGAACATAGTCTGCATTGGATTGTTTCTGAGCCATTTCTCTGCAGGAAGACAGGATTAGGATTGTGATTTCACACATGTCGAAATCCCATGTACACGAGAGTCTCTCAAAAGGATGAACCTTTGTATTTACTGTCTAAACAGTAACTCCCTCTTTATTATGATTGTGTAAAAAGGTAACAACATCCCTGCTGCTGAGACAGAAAGAGTGACAGAATATTTGCTAATAAGACCTCTACATCACTGGTTTAAATGATGCCACTAGAATAAAGAGGATTTTAGTATATTTAAATGCTACACCAAGAAAGTGGAAAGGGAAACTGAGCAATGGCAAACAATGTCTGAGGAGGGGTAGCAAAACATACTGCTTGGTGTGAGCTTTCTGGGAAATTCCCTGCAGATGTGGTGTCCCATTGAAGTGCATAAAAATAGAGTGCAGTCAGAAAAGAATTATGGAAAGGCTGAAATCTAGAAAAATATTCTAAAATATATTGGGTATTTTAGAAACTACTGAAATCTAGAAAAATATTTTTAGTAACAAGTATTCATTCCATTTGTGTCACCAAAACAATAATAAACTCCCAGTATCGAATCACTATCACATGTAAAAAATATCAGGTGCTAGTGGATTAATTCAATGCAGTAAGATTTATTAGGATCTGAGCACAAAATTAATTTTAATGCTACATCAGTTAAAAGCAGAAATGAGGTGCATGAGTGACTGGCCACTGGTCTGGGTTAGCAGAATTCCATATCAGGAAGTCATAGCCCTGTGCTACAGAAAGTAACAATTTTTTCCTGGCCTCAGCTGCATGTATTCATTTAGCATTTAACATCGTGGGGCTAAATACATTCTGTATAGCACACAAGATTATCTCCATTCTGAAGATTTGGCCATTTAAGGTAAAAATGAGCAACCAAAGCACAGAGGAAAAAACATCTCCAGAGCAGGATCAAAATGGACGTTCTGGGCTCCATTCTGTTGCCTAAACCTTGTGTTTCCTGTGATTTGAGATGCTTTGGAGTATCCCAAGTGTGTGTCCTGTAATTTCAGATAGCACTGAAATGAGCCCTCTGTGTTTAAATCCTGGTAAGTTCGCTGAGGCTACCCTTAGCTGCTGTTTCTTTTTTACTCCCTCCACCCACTGTTCACAGACCCCATTAACTTTTAAATATTAAGAGCTGATTTTCTAACTTGCCACTTTTAGCATGTGTTGTTTAAAAACGTTTACTTCACTGTTTTAGATACTGCTAAGTGGTAGCTGTCTGTTAACATAGAGAAGAGGGCAATGGCAACTTCTGTTACGAGAGCAACAGGGGAAAAGTCCCACAAAAGCAAATGTTCTAACTCTAGAAGTTTTCTCAAAACTTGTATTATTTACCCTTCAAAAATGTTTAGAGTAATTGCATTTCACTTTAGTTCTGGATTACCTGGAGTGCTTTATAGAAATATTTGTCTTAAAATGAAGCAAACAGAAATTCTTACTGCATCTCATTATTTGGAGACTTCCTATTTTTTGCCTTCTTGGTTAAGACCCAGACGATAATGCAAATGATAGCAGCTGCCAGGATCGCTCCAATTAATGCTCCAGCAACAATAGCACTGTCTGAATCTGGAAAGAAAAAAAAAGATTACTTGACTTTACTTTTAAAAGTAGTAATATAGCAAAATCCCATGGAAATTTAGTGCAAGAGCTTTTAGCAGAAAGAAGGCATTGGATTCAAAGAACTCTTTCCAGGGGGAGGCCAAAGGAAAGTGAGAATTATGCTTTATGTGATCTTTGTTGCCTCCTTTCTTGTTGGTTAGCTCCCTATCCCAAGAAACTCTCTCTTTATGTCTGGCTATGGGAAACATTAGGCTGTAACACTCACAGTAGGTAAAAGCCTGTGCTCTTCAGTCCTTGCAAACACATTCTGAAATTCAAGTTGCCTTTATTTCTGCCTTTCAGCTGAGATATAAAATGTGTGCTCTGATCATTTGTGAGCCTCCAAAGCCTTTTATTTCCACTTCAGTGCAGCTTCCAGCTCTGACCTGCTATTTTCAGGTCATAGTCCACTGAATCATTGAGAGACCATTTCGTGGACATCTCTCATGGCTGGTTGTACAACATAGGCTTGGCTCTTGTTAAATATTACTGGTTCTGTGAAAAATATGCATGCAGGTGTGGTTGACCACTGCTTGAGAACACTCAGGATAAGGTATTTTTCTGTGACTGCAGTATTTTTAGCCAGTGGTTACATCTACAGTGCTCCAGTCCTTGTACTACCACGTTTCAGTGATGGTTTTAATTTCCGGGCTAAGGGGACCTCAGTGAGAGTGGTGGCTGGAAGATGTTGCTCAAAACTCCATGTCTGTCCATTCTCAGTAAAGGCTCTGCAGTCAGAACCAGGTCCAGCTCCTGCTCCCTGTGGGAATTAAGCTGGAGATGTTAAACCAGTTTTCTAGGTCAGTGTAAATTCTGGGCATGCCTGGATGAAAACTCCGGAGCTCTCCAAATCCTGTTCTGTTCTTACTTGAAAAAAAAAAATAAATCTATGCTTCAAAGTTGTTAGAGCATTCTCCTGCAAGCTGTGCATGTCCTACATCAGAGATGTGACTACTTGCACGTGTTAAACTCACGTTTTGCTGTTAGGTCAAGCTCACAGGTGCTGTTCCCCAGGACGTTGCTGGCTACGCACCGGTAATAGCCAGTTTCAAAGGTGGTGAGATTGCCAAGGTAAAGAATGCCAGTGTTTGGATCTGTGACAGGCAGGGAACAGGTACAAGTTACTGTTTGTATTCTGTAGAGGCAAACAGTTCTCTGTAGTTGGTAACACTGAGAGCTATTCAGAGATTAGAAACAGGGTTATCTGTTTATTTGGTTATTTGGGGGTTTTTTATATTCTTTTAATAAAAAACATTTATCTTCCTTGAAAATTGTTCCAGTGGATTCTGCAAAGGCATAAATATTTCTCCCATTTTAACAATTTAAAGTAATGGCATAGATAAGACTTCAACATGCCAAACATTTTTTTATTAAATAGGAAAAGTGTCCTTTGTTTTTGAAAGCTGTTGGTCAACTTGAATAAGTAAAAATACGATTTTGTGACTTTCACCATCAGAGGAGGATAAATTTTAATTAGCCTATGTGATACACAGTGTTTGAAATGTTGGTGCTAGGGAATTTCAGGTCTTGGACACAGTACAACAGTCCTTTAGTTACGCACTAAATTGTTCAGTCACAGGCTTGAGGGTGTTCTCCTCGACTTTGTACCAGCGGTAGGTGGGATGAGGCAATCCCTCTTCACATCTGCACAGGAGGTAGATCAGATGCCCTTTTTCAGGTGTTCCTTCTACTTTGCAGAAAGGTGTTGATGGTTTGACTGTAAAATAACAATGAGGAGAAGAGACACATCATGAGTGCATAGCTGGGGCTGCAATAATCCACCTCGAGTTCTGGTACTGTGCTGCAATTCTCAGTTAAGAATTGAACCTCATTTACAAATTTCCATCCATGATCAGAGTCTTATTTATGGATCTGACCAAAGCCTCTCCCATAAAAAAATGAGTAATATTAAATATATGTACATGGCCTAGGATACAGTTTGCATACTAACTGTTATCATGGAGGTGTTGAGACAAAGACTATCAATTACTTTCATTATAATGGGCCACTCACTATTTGTGATACACCATTCTGCCACACAGAAGCATCATTTTTTTAGGGACATGGCACGAGCTTTTCCACAGAAAGGGAGAGGATCAAGGCTTGATTCTTCAGTATATTACAGCTGTGGAAGAAATAAATCAACTATAGTTCTGTTAAAAAATATATCTGTTTTGATTTCATTTCTTCACTTTTCACACAAGGTAGGATTCTGTCTTCACTTACACCTATTGTTTTTCATTTCCTATCCACAGAAATGCTGTTGTGGTTCTTTTGAGCACTGTCAGGGAAACTCTACCATCAATGAGCTCAGCCCAATTTTGTGTGCATAAATGAACAACTTTTCTTGGTTTTTGTGTGAAAACTGCAATCTCTAACTCAACTGCTCCAAGATTTACTAATCATTTTGGGAATTTTAGATAAGAATTATCTGTGGTACTTTGATTTTTCAGAGAATGAGTTTACATATATCTTTTTCTTATTCCTGGAAAACAGGCAAGTGAGGTTGGAATTATGTTCTTTTATGACTGTGATTTGTCAGTCTGACCTTGTATGAATTCTCAAGATAATCAGTGATTAGATGGAGTTAGTACAAACTTTTATCTTATTAAGATGTAAAATTTTCCACTGCTTTTCATCCTTTCTGTCCTGCCTCTTCATGTTTGAACTATTGCTTTTTTCCATCCACAACACACTTTCTACTGCTTCCATCCAACACATCCTAAGTTTCTAGAGCTCTTGGGAATTGGTGTGAGCCAGAACTCTTGGGCTGTACTACTGCCTCTCCCTAGCTTTATGCAAGTCACCATGACCAACATTAGGTAAAATTAGTGAAGTTTTGGTCTTTTCGGGTGCTGCATCTAATGATTTCAGAGAGAAGTTGTTCCTCCCAGCTAAAAGGGTGTTTTATTTTAATCAAAGCTAGTATCAGTCTGTTTTCCAACGTGAAAAACTCAGTGAAGCTGGGTAAGTCCAGCTACCCTCTTACCTGCTCACATTGAGTTTTTAAGTTTTAAATTTTTGAAAGCACAAAGTGAATCTGAAGGCCACTGGTGGGAGAGTGAGATCTGGCTGCAGGTCAGGCAAGGGTAGCTGTGGAGTGGCAGCAGGTCCTCTCTGGCTGGAAGCTAGAGGGCACCCAGGCTCTGCCTGCCTCCAGAGCCCTGGGAAGCATCTGCATCAGTGCATCTGGGAGCCTTTTCTCTGCATCACGGGCCTTGTTTACCACAGTTCTGTTCTGTTATTCCCTCTGGCCCTACGTGTTCTGAACAGTGTTTCATAACATGGGAAGAAAACGAACGACACAGCAACAGAGAGGGAAGGCACTTACCCAGCACATTGACAATCACAGATTTTTGACTCTGTCCAGCATCGCCCTGAGGGCTGAAAACTTCACAGGTGTAGGAACCAGTGTCTGAGGGCTGCATGTTGGAGATTGTTATTGATGCATTCCCTGGACCTGTTGCAGCTGTTATCCTGTTCTTAAATGCTCCATAGGAGTAAGACTGGCCTCCTGAATAATAATAGATCTGTGATAAAGAATCAGTTGTTAGTTTAATGACAAGAGATCTTCTTGCTGCTTGCTTTGGTACTCATAAGATTGTTGATTTCTGATGAAGCCAAGCAGTGTCACCCCCTGTCTTGCCCCTTTTCCCAAGAAAGCAGAAATAAAAACATTATACATTTGAATGTATATTTGTAATGGTTCTTAAAAGACAAGCTTTTCAGAAATGGCATTTTTAATTTTGTAATTGACAGTAACGAGATCGAAGCACAGACTGATGCATTTGCAAAACAGAGGTGAGACCATTGACCATCATATGAAAATTCTATGAAAAAATGTTAAGTCCTGGACAGTGAATAGTGGTATCAATTGAAGTACTGATAATTTGTGATATTATTAATAAGTGGCTCAACAGAAGGTTATGACAAGGATGGGCCTATCATTGCAAAAACTGGGTGACAGTTCCCCAGCATCTACGTGCACAAACTAGGCAAAGTGAACAGTTCCAGCACACTCAGTCATTTCTTTAAGCTGGTGAGAGGTAACCATGTAGAATTACAGGTTGTGACCCAAATGGATATACCATTGTTCCTCCTGACATTTCAGAATCAGCAGTGTAAATGTATTTATTGAACTAACAGCATGTTTTTTAATTGAAATAGTGGGAAAATGCTTGTAGGAAAAAGCTTCACAAACTCCTCTGAAATGCCATTCACACCTGACTAGTATCAAAATTTTCTTTTGGTCAAAGTTCTCTGCCTTCTAGGGACACTGCAGATCCCTGGGCGACAAGTATAATTTGCTTTACTTTGCAGATCAACTGATTGCATTTTGAATTAAGAATATTTATTCTTAATTCTGTTTATCCACCCTGATATGGTGTTGACTGAAGTCTTTAAGCAATGTTATCTGAAAGCCTTTATTAGCTTAAGGCAAGGTACACCCCAAAACTGTCAGAGCACAACTGGTTTATGCAATGATACAGCTTTGAAATGAAGGTCAGAACCCAGGCTGCATAGCACCAGCAGCTCCAGGACTGCAGCTTGGCCCCATCTCAAGTGCAGTTTTGCATACTCCTCAGCCAGACTTTATCTTTCCCTGCCCCAGGATTACAAACACCAGGTACAGTTGATGCAGGGCTCTGAACACCAAAGCATTCCCCAGGTGTGGAACCCTGGTGTTGCAGTGAGGAAGCATAAGAGCTCCAGGGTTAGCACAGTGACAGACTCGGTTACAAAGTCTGCTGAACAGCTGGAGAGACCCCCTAGTTTCCATTATGTGCATGTGATACCATCAGTTTTCAAACTGATTTTATGCTTTGCAAATGTTTAGAGATGTATCTCTGTTGCAGAACTAATGTCTGGATGCACACTCAGTGTATTCCCCAGGGAAGGAGAGTATTCAAATAGGCTGTTTGGTTTAAACAAACTGCTCATCAAAAACCTGGTCTGCCTGGAATTACAAAAACACACTGCCAAACTGGTCTCATTCTACGTTTATCTGAGTATGAGCAACAACAGAGTGTTATTTATCACTGTATTAAGTTACAAGAACTGTGACTTCTGACTTCAGACTCCTCTTAAGCTGATGTCCCTAGATAGCTCTCAACAGTGATGGGCTGGATTTCCATCTCCATTCCATGAAGCTTCCATCAGCTCTTTACACTAATGTGAAATTAGGTTCTACAATGATCTAAATGAAGTAACCTGTGTCTTACCACAGCATGAGAAGAGTGACAGGCCCTTCATACCCTACTAAAAGGCCTGATTGCTGGAAAAAGGGGCTAAATTCTACTCAGTCTAACTCAGAGTGATGTGGGATTTATGTGAGTAGCAGGAGGTGCCCACTGAGAATTAGCTTAGCTACAGCACATGTTCCTGGGAAATAGGACTGGCATTGAGTCTGAAATGCAGTCAGGGCATGCCAATAAACACAATAGAGGAGCAAGTGCTCCTTGGTATATTTGACCTGAAGTCAGGGTGAACAACGTGTTTAAGTCCTCATACAATGCACTGAGAAATGAATTCCCCGTGTTCTCTCCTTCTGATTGAATGAATGCAGGGAAAATATTTTGTGTACACTGCTAAATCTGAGGCAGGTGTCAACACAGCAGAGACTATTTTTTTTCTTCATGGATTTAAACAGAGTCTTTCTGGGTTGTTGGTTTTTTTTTTGTTTCAAGTATGAACATAAAGGCAATGGAACATCCTCAGGTAATGCATTCAGTTCCTCTGCAGGCTCCTGCCTGTTCTCTGTTCTGCTCCTGTTCGATGCTTATCTTGCTGGCTCTGGAGTTCATTGCCTGAAGGAAGGTGGTAAACACCAAAAAGGCTGAGTAATGTTGTGATTAATTACTGAGTGTATATCTTGTCCCAGAGGTATGATTGAATTGTGTACACAGGAAATTTCATTTAAGAGGAACATGTTTTAGTTAATTGGCTGTGAATTCACAGCCCATTTTAAACAATACACTCAAAATGGCTATTTTAAACCCTTGTTCAAAGTGGGTTTATGCTGTCCTTGAAAATCTTGTTCCTGGCTCTCAAAAAACTGAAATAAAAATCTTTGCAAAAATGTTTCTGTTCCAATTCAAGAGTAAAAAAACTTGTTTTCTGTTGAAGATATGGAAGACTATTTTTGGGCAACTGACAGTTAATGTTTCCTCCTACAAACACACATCTCATTGACATTTCTTTCTATTTTACCTAAAATGTCTGTATGGAAAAACTGTATTTAGTCAATGGTAGACTTTTTCTGGAAGCCTTTTAATCTGATGTGATAAATATATTTTAAGTGCACCGTCTTGAATGCAAAAAAATACGAAAGAAATCTGTGCTTCTCTTGAAAAAATACACTTTTCATGTCCTGAAGCAAATCATGAGTAGCTCTAGTGGAGTCGATGATTTACCAGAGTATAAACCATTTCAAGGGTGCAGTAATGGTTGCTGCTTCTCCTTACCAGCTAGTTTGCTCAGGCAAGTTTTTATATTAATGGTGCCTTTTCACATTTCATGGCAGCAGCTGCCTGGGATGACTAATCAAACAACTAACTGCAAGAAGAGCGGAGATTATCACTCCTAAAACTGCTGTCCCTAATAGCTTCACAATCTGAGACACCAGTTTCTGCAAAGCAGCCAAGTTGCCCAGAAAGCATCTCCCTGACCTTAGAAAGGGTTGCAGTTCAGTCGGTTATTCAACCTGTGGGCCAGGTGGTGCCTGGAGCTGCTCTCAGCAGCCATCCATCCTTGTGGGCTTTCTAAGGCAGTGGTGCAGTTACTCTGCATTTCCACAGCCAGTTTCTGCTGCAGCCAAGAAAAGGATTTTGGCCCATAGGCTTCCATAAGTCCATTATTCATGTACCTGTTTGGGGCAGCTGGGTTACAAACAGACCAGGGAATTGGAAATGACCATACTCATTTGGAAGAAAATCTTGATAATCTCAATGCACTCCAGATGCTGGAGACAATATTATCTGTGTCCCAAATTCTGGAGGATCTGGTACATGAAATCACATGTGCTTTTCTTCCTCTTTAGCCTGACTTGTGGAAAGGCTGCTCCTCTTCTAGAGGGATGGTGAGGAAAGTTTTTGCCTGCAGAGGAAGCAGTTGGCAAAGCTGATGCTGAGTTGAAGATTTTCAAAAGCTGCCAGATGTTTGGCAGCATGTGAGGAACCCAACTGCAGGTTTTCTTTATACAAATTCTATAGAAATATCTTCCTTAGGGTGTGGAGGGGGCGTGTGAGAAAGCAGTGAGTAAATTAGGAGAAACATGCTCCCATCTGCTTCCTTTCTTCTCGGGACAGGACAAATATATACTAGGATTTGCATAAATATGTGTCATTCAAATCTCTTTGGATGGACTCATTCATAACTTCCAGGTCAATACTCCTCCCAACCCCCATCTCCTGGAGTCACGGCATCACATTGCTGTACATGCCCCGTGCATATGGATATCAGAGCTATAAGATGAGATGTACTTGAAGATGTGTTAGAAAATGTCCACTGAATCTCCACAGAACTTTTGACTTCCTGACTGGGGGGCAGTTTCAGGACATGACTTCCTTTCCAATTCCCTCCCCCAGCCCCTTTCCCCACCAGCACATGCAAAGCTGTAGCATCCTGTTCCATGACGTTTCTCAAGGCTGATGGATTCAGTGTGTGACTCACGGTCTTTGCCTGGAGAGCTGGAAAGCTCAGGCGTTCAGAGGGCCCCATCATTGGGTTGGTTTGTCATTTTCTGTTTGACATTTTCTCAAGCTACCAGAAAAAGAACTGTTAAAGTCTCTTTCTCACTGATAAAAGCAGGGGAAGACTGGTTTGAGATCGTGATCTCATTTTGAATTCTGAGGACAGACAGAATTTATAAAAATAACAACAAGGTAAAAAATTTTCATCACTCCCCTAAGCATCTTACCATCTAATTAGAGAACAAATGCCACGCACTGAGAGTGTTAATGAAGGCCCAAGGCTCAGATTCTGAACTCGAGTAGATAAGAAAGGAAATGCTTACACGTGCATCGGTTTCTTTGACAGTGTGTCACATGATTTGGTCTGGGCCCAAATGCCTTATTTCATCCACAGCTTCTTTTCACACATTTTTGCCAGAACTCTGATCTGCTAGAAGGTAGTAGGGATATTATATCCTGCATTACTGGGGTTTTTGCATGGGTAATCAAGGGTGTTAACAGTGACTAGAAGTGTCTTGTTGCAATAGCGCATTAGTAGAAGAGAAAAGGGAGGGAGTCAGAAGCCTTTAGAGGATTAATCATTCAGCAGCTTTAACTGGTGCAGAATACTTTTGAGGAGCAGCTCTTTGATGTTCTCATAGTATCGTTCTTGGGGCTGAACTATTAGTAAATAATTCCTACAGTGCATCAAGCACAAACATGTTTTCTCAGTGCCTTTGGTGTAACTGCTCTTCAGCAGTTATTATTAGAGCTCAGTTTACATTGGGCTGTGCCCTGTACTTCATGGTGAGACAGGAATCCCACTGCAGTCAAAGAGACTTTGGAATGGATTACAGCTG